TTGTTATTGTTATTTATCGCCGTCTCTTGTATTTTTGTACTTATTTGCATGCCTAGTTATTTAAGTTTTTTAAGTTTAATTTTGAAATCTTTAATCTGACTCTTTCTCCTTGACTGCTGTAACACTGGAATTTCTTAATTATGGGATCAGTAAAGGTGTGTCTTATCTTATCTTATCTTATCTTATCTTATCTTATCTTCATCCCACATATTCATACACTGGTGGCCAAGGCCACCATACAAGGTACCACCTGCTACTCAGTTTTTAACACACTCACACACAGATGGAACAGCCCTTGGGAGCAATTTGGGGCACAGTGTCCTGCTCAAAGATATTTCTACATGTGGACTGGAGGAGCTGGGGATCAATCTTCCTATTAGTAGACAACACGCTCTACCCTCTGAGCCACAGCTGCCCCAGATTGTGATAGTCAAAGGTCAAGGTCACTGTGACCTTGTAGCCATCTCATTCTCATGAACACTATATCTCGAGAACACCTTGAGAGAATCTTTTCAAATTTGGCATAAACGTACACTTGGAATGCTGTATTTCAAGAACACCTTGAGGGAGTATTTTCATCTTTGGCACAAACATTTACTTGGACTCAACAATGGACTTATAGATTTTGGTGGTCAAAGGTCAAGGTCACTTTGACCTGGCATATTATTGTCATTATTGTGAACGCAATACCTCAGGAACACCTTGAGGACATATCTTGAAATTTGGGAGAAATGTTTACTTGAACGCAAGAATAAACCAGTTTGGAGGATTTGGTGGTTGAAGGTAAAAGGTTAAGTTCACTGTGACCACACAAAATATGTTTTTCTCCCTAACTCAGGAATCCATACACTAATTATGACAAAATCACACACAAATGTTTAATAGAATATAGTGATTAAGTGTTGATATTTCATATCAAAAAGGTCAAAGGTCAACTTCACTGTGAAATCATAATGAGCTGCAAAAACACTTTTCTGGCCATTACTCACTATCATATCTCAGGAACAGAGGGGGAGACATTTGGTCAGATATCTCAAAATCTGACATCCCACACCTTGGTCACACATCATGTATCCATTACACAGAACTGTCTTTAAAGCCTGGCTCCTCTGCTACCTCGTGAATATAACATTGGAGTAACTGCCAACACTGCAATGATCTGCCTGTCAATCTTATGCTCCATCCCACTCTCACTCTACAGCACATAGTAAACATATTGTACAAACTAACAACAAAACATGCAAACTCATACAATGCTCTACTGTTCTCCCTGAAAGCCACACTCCCCCACCTCTCCTTGGGAAGGTCAGAGGTCACCCTCAGAACAGCAGCCCTGACGCTGTTGGGGATTCAGTGTTTTGTTAGCAGGGGCCATCATGGCCCAAACAAAGTCCCTCTGGCTAAAGGAGGCTCCCTCCAATCAGTATGCCACCGTGTTACTGTTTGCTGCTATGCTGCAATTTAGCTCTGATCTCATTAATTGGTTTACAGTGTGCATGATTTGGATGCACGCCCTAAGGCTATTTTGTGCTGCTGACAAACACAGTCTGTTGGTGTAGTGATAGTCTTGGTGTGTTAGACCATAAACCTTCCTCCATAATTGATGAGGGCGGACAGTTTCAAAATCAAAAGGCTACGAAGTAGTTTCCTTCTTGTTGTTAGTTGTGTCAGGCTCAGTGAACATGTCTGAAAAAACCTGTGCTGAATTGTAAATGTTTCAGCAGGCATTTTTTTCTCCTGACATTAATGCAGGAGATTTTCTCCTGACTGTTCCCCTCCTCAATGACTACTGATGAGATGCACTTTGAAGGCACTTAGGCTCTGGAGTTTCTGTCGACATATGTGTATCAAAAACTAATCAGGTGGTTGGCCGTGCAGCTTTTGATTTAAAAAAATCTTAACAAAACAAAAAAAAAATTATTATCCATTTACTCTCAGCACACAAAGTCGTCAGATTGTGTAATGTTCACACTACACTACTTGTTGTCTTTTAATTGGGAGTCTTAAAGCTGTTGTGGTTTTCATACTACATGACTGATGGGTGACAGGGGATTACACACTACAAGATCTTTCACCAGGAGTAATCTCAAATGATGAGTATGTCTCCAAACTATGTTTTGTTATGAAAAGACATGTGAAATGACAGGAGACATGACATAATACCATGCAGAAGACAAGATTTCTTGTTCAACAATCACTGACTGAATGTAAAGCCTAACCCTGTTATTTTTTTCTAAACCTAGCCACGTCCATGTGATGGGTATATGTAACCATATGCGCTTGTTGTTGAAGGAAAAAAATGACAATATTTGGTGTTGTATCCACGTAGTCCATTTATTTTGAAAAAGATGTTACTCAGTCTCCCAGAAAATAAACAACAGACACACCCAGGCTACCTTGCACATCATATGTAGATGTGGAAAGTCTAAAGGTTTTGCTGTCAGGTGGAATAAGGAAGTTAGTCCCAGACACCTCCTTAATACCCTCAAAGAGAGCAGAAATTAATGTCTTTATCTTCCATAAGTACCACCAAAATGTCCCCCTCAAATGCCTGACATAGTGGCAGACACAGTGCCAGCACAAAGTAAGTTAACAGGGTTTTCGGTCTGTGTCTCAGTTGCAGGTTAATCATCTATACACTGTTAACTCATTTATATCAAAATGCAAATACAGTAAATCATTACACCAGCTGTTGCAGTGAAGCCTGCATATCCAGGCTGCAAACTGGAACAAAAAGTATCTTGTAATCCATTGTACGCAGTCTGCAGTGGCTTTACTGTTGGTCCAGTTAAATATTTACCGATGACCAATGATTACCTGAATGTAAACACCTGGTACTGACCTTACAGATAGACAGGTGTTTATATGCATCATTTAATAGCTCTATCAGGACAAAACATAAGGCATTAACAAAGCTAGTACCCTAATGATAAAACTAATATATGAATATGTGCATTTGTGTGTCACAGATCGAGGTGATGCATGAGGAAAGCCAAGGAGGCTCCACCCATGTGGTTGTGAACAACGAGACAGAGGAGAGTCTATCCAACAGACGCAGGTATGGAAATAACACACCGCTGTGTTCACATGCAGTCCTTTGGTTTACTGTCATATCACTATACTGAAAAGACAACATGATGATGTCATTCTCTAGATTAGTAAACAAGGTGTGATAACTGATTCAGAGAGTGAAAACACAACTGGTACAGTTATAAGCCATGATTGTGTGCATGGTTTGAAAGAAAGTGTGGTGTTGTGTGATGATTTATGTCACCTACCACATGCAGTGTATATGTGGAGAGCACATTTCAGACACAGGTGGTTACAGTTAACACCCAGATGACAGTGCAAGTGGTGAAGTGGGACTCCAGTGTGGAATTTATCCATGTTTAATTTAACCCTGTGTTGTATGGAGGCAGTCTGATCTGAGCAACTTAAGCATTAGAGCATTTGCACAGACAGCTACTTTGTTTGAAGGTTAAGTATAAGGTCAAGTATTTTTATTGAGCCAAAGATGGAATTATATATATCATGTTGCAGTGGCAGCGCTCATTTCATTTTATATAAAAGAGTTTTGAAAAAATAAGTTCACAGATGTAGGAAAATATGAACATGAACATGGAAACAAGACAAAATATTGGTGCATTGAATGTGCATAAAGTAAATAAAGGAGAAAAAGGAATAAATAAATAAACAAAATAAAATAAAAATGAAATTTAAAAAAAGGGGGAACCTAAGTCTAGGTACAGGACTTCCTTAACCCCTTCTATTTCCCTGTCCATTACCCTTGTCTCTATCCTTAACTCAAACTCAAAATCGGGTATTGTAGGAAAATGGGTTACAATTTAAGAACTGAACTTTGTGCAAGGTCTGATATGAGAGGTTGCTAGATTGTGATATATTGTGGGAGTCTGCCCTTTAAGACATAAAGGATAAGACATCTTATCCTTTCCAAATGTAGTATGCTGGTTAGATCACGTATAGCCACATATTGCAGGTTGGAACTATTATTCCTTTCCATGACAGCAGTAGTTATTTTGCCGTAATGACACAGTAGGAGAGGAACTTCTGTTAGGCAGTGGAGAGTTGTCTTCGTGCTTCAGACACACCCAGAATGATTAATATAATATGAAGGAGGATTAGGGCCATGTTAAAGGAAAAAAAATCTTAGATTTTGAGAATAAAGTTGTAAATCTACAAAAACAAAGTACTTGTTTTTTAGGGAAAAAAGTCCCAGATTAATCTTTGACGCTATGTATTCCCAAATCACTCCATGTACAGAAGGTTTTATCTAGAATAGATGAGATGAAAGTGGGTTTTTTTGCAATGGGAAGGGCGAGAGAAATAGGCTTAAAGGACAACTTCGGTATTTTTCAACTTGAGCCCTATTTCCCATGTGTATGTGTGCGTATGATTCATAGGTACAACTCGTTCTAAAATTGGTTCAGTATTGAGGGAGGCGGATGCAACCGGAGCCGCGAAATGAGCTAAATGTGTCCCATATAAGTTTGCGCATTAAAAGTGCTTTTTTTCTCCACTGACCGGTTCAGATCGCCAGTGCTATGAGTGCTATGAGTGGAGTCAGCTGTCGGTCAGTGTTGGAGCAGAGAGGGGGAGGGCTGCCCCGCTGGGTACTGTAAGTGTGTGTATAAAGTGTGTGTTTTTTCGCCACTGACCGGTTCAGATCGCCAATGCTATCTCTGTAAATAGCATACTAGCCTTTCCCTTACCTCTGGGCTGTGTGATGTCATGAGCTTTGCTCCACTGTGTCTGTAGCTCTCTCTACTCGTGGGACAGCCGTTTTCTTGAGGAAGAGGTGTTTCGGGATTGGATGTCTTCTCTTCTTCGGCTGGCAGTAGCGCAGTGTCTGGAGAGGAGTGTTAGCATCCATTTGTAGCACAACTAGCCACAACTTCAGCATCTCGCCGTCCGACAAAGGCAGCCTATGAAAGCTGTACGGGGTGTTGCGCGACATCCTGTTCTTGCACACTCCAGGGGGTAGCACGTAAAAGACTCCGTTCTCTGACTCTTCTAGCGTAACACACACACTTAATACACACATACTCACTTAAAGTACCCAGCGGGGCAGCCCTCCCCCTCTCTGCTCCAACACTGACTGACAGCTGACTCCACTCATGGCACTGGCAATCTGAACCGGTCAGTGGCGAAAAAAAGGCACTTTTAATGCGCAAACTTATACGGGACGCATTTGCCCCCATTACCGTTTTAGCTCGTTTCGTGGCTCCAGGTTGCATCCGCCTCCCTCAATACTGAACCAATTTCAGAAAGAGTTGTACCCATGAATCATACGCACACATACACATGAGGAAATAGGGCCCAGGTTGAAAAATACCGAAGTTGTCCTTTAAGACCAAAGTGGGATTTGATTTGCTTCCATATACAGTCAGGTCCATAATTATTTGGACAATGATACAGTTGTCATCATTTTGGCTCTGTACACCACCACAATGGGTTTTAAATGAAACAATGAATACCTGCTTAAAGTGCAGACTCTCAGCTTTCATTTAAGGCTTTTTTCAAAAATGTAGTATGAACCGTGTATGAATTACAACCATTTCTTCACACAGTCCCCCGACTTTAAGGGCTCATAAGTATTTGGACAAACTAACATAATCATCAATTAAACAGTCAGTTTTAATACTTGGTTGCAAATCCTTTACAGTCAATGACTGCCTGAAGTGTTGGACACATAGGCATCATCAGATGCTGGGTTTCTTCCCTGGTGATCCTCTGCCAGCCCTTTACTGCAGCCGTCTGCACTTCCTGCTTGTGTTTTGGGTGTTTTGCCCTCAGTTTTGGCTTCAGCAAGAGAAACGCATGCTCAATTGGATTCAGGTCAGATAATATGACTTGGCCATTGCAGAACATTCCACCTCTTTGCCTTAAAAATGTCTTTGGTTGCTTTTGCAGTATGCTTCAGGTCATTGTCCATCTGCACTGTGAAGCATCGTCCAATGAGTTTTGAAGCATTTAGTTGAATCTGAGCAGGTAATGGTGCTCCAAACACTTCAGCTTTCATCCTGCTGCTCTTGTAAGCAAGACAAGACTTCACTAGAATAAATACAGAGGGTTTATCACAAGATGCAAACCATTGGTTAGCCTTAAAAATGGAAGGCCAGATTAGAGTTTGTCAAAAACCATCAAAAAAGCCTGTACAGTTGTGGAACAGCATACTATGGACAGATAAAACAAAGATCAACTACCAGAATGATGGGAAGACAAGAGAAGGAAGAAGGGAAGGAACTGCTCATGATCCAAAGCACACCACCTCATCAGTGAAGCATGGTGGAGGTACTGTTATGTCATGGCCATGTATGGCTGCCAGTGGAACTGGTTCTCTTGTATTTATTGATGATGTGACTGCTTACAAGAGCAGCAGGATGAAAGCTGAAGTGTTTGGGGCTACATTATCTGCTCAGATTCAACCAAATGCTTCAAAACTCATTGGACGATGCTTCACAGTGCAGTTGGACAATGACCTGAAGCATACTGCAAAAGCAACCAAAGACATTTTTAAGGCAAAGAAGTGGAATGTTCTGCAATGGCCAAGTCATATCATCTGATCTGAATCCAACTGAGCATGCGTTTCTCTTGCTGAAGCCAAAACTGAGGGCAAAACACCCAAAACACAAGCAGGAAGTGCAGACGGCTGCAGTAAAGGGCTGGCAGAGCATCACCAGGGAAGAAACCCAGCATCTGATGATGCCTATGTGTCCAACACTTCAGGCAGTCATTGACTGTAAAGGATTTGCAACCAAGTATTAAAACTGACTGTTTAATTGATGATTATGTTAGTTTGTCCAAATACTTATGAGCCCTTAAAGTCGGGGAACTGTGTGAAGAAATGGTTGTAATTCATACACGGTTCATACTACATTTTTGAAAAAAGCCTTAAATGAAAGCTGAGAGTCTGCACTTTAAGCAGGTATTCATTGTTTCATTTAAAACCCATTGTGGTGGTGTACAGAGCCAAAATGACGACAACTGTATCATTGTCCAAATAATTATGGACCTGACTGTAGGTATTAAGTTATGTATGACGGAAATATTTAAGACATTTATTAATATATAAAACAATACTCTTGGAATAATATATTGTGTCTGATATGGTTTTTCCATAAAAAGTTCAATTCCTACAGTAACACTCACAACACCCCTCATCATTAGCTTCAAATGTGAGGTATTTACTCACAATTTTGTTGTTCATGTTTTTGGAAAATCTGTAACACACTTTTTTGTCATGGCTCCATCCAGTGCGTCTTGGTATAAACTTTAGTCTAGTCCAGTCAGTCTGAAATAGTTTCAACAGATTTAGAAAAAGCAGTGGGTTATTGATTGTTAAAGCACATGTTATGATTTCACATTGGATGTCAAACAGAGATGTCACAGAGATAGACAGGCTAACACACAAACCATAATGTGCAATACCCGCACTTCCACAAGTCTAAATCTACTGCACAGCTTTTGCTACTTATCATCTGTTATTTTCTATTTCTCTTGTAGTCTAACTCCTATCTCTGCAGGGAGTTGTTCGTCTGAAAACTTTGTCACGTGTTATGCAATTGGCTTGAGCCCAGAGAGACACAGTGAGCTGATGGAATATAACTGTATTTGTATTCAGCCATGCTTGCCAGCTCAGTGAGAATCATCATCTTTAGGTTAACTGCAATCGCTCAGTTATACTCCCTTTACGTATGAAAATAGATATGTCCTTTTCAAACATTGTCAACATCATGTTTCTCATACTTTCATGTGCCCTTTATGATGGCATAAACACAGTCAATAGATGGCACTTGAGGGCAGAGTCAAAAGTTTCACACAACAAATGAGGTGACGTGCAGGAGGTAGTAATATTGTGGCTTTCAATGGAGGCAGTGCTGTAGACAGTGGTGGTCTGTGCAGCCATTATATACATTGCGACATGCTTTCAGAAAATGTGCACAAATATGGACAAAATGAATGCAGGGTATGGACAGAAGGCTCTGTCCGTCTATAATTTTGAGAATAAATGAGCCCTTAGTTTGAAAACAGGGACAG